CCAGACTGTTCCACCACCAGCACAACTGGGGTTGGTGTGGCAGGAGCTCCCACACTAGCCAAGGGGTGAGGATCCGTGCTGGATCCCACCTAAGATGCCCAAGCCCTAAGGAACCAGCCCTGCAGGCAGCTCTGCTCCCAGCCCAGCCCCTCCCAGGGCAGCAGGGGCCACGTTGGATGCTTGGATGAGGCTGAAAGACCCCATGAAGACACTGGAGCCAAGAATTCCCCACCTCCACAACCCCCCTGGCTTTTCCCAGGCACCAACCTTGCTCCACGTCCACCTCTGCTGTCACTTGTGCCCGGGTCTCACAGCCCAGGGGGGGCTGGGCAGGGACTCCCCCCTGGCAGCTCCGCCGCGGAACCGCGGTGCCCGAGCGGCTCTTCTTGGAAGGGGATGGCTTGACTGGAAAGACACAAACCAACAAAATTCTCTTTCCTAATGCATTCAGGAAGGAGTAGGAAAACCCAACTTCCCAGTGAGAGTTGTGCCCTGAAGGAACAAGCTGGTGGATGAAACAGCTCCTATAAGGTCACATCTGTCAGGCATCCAGGAGGAAGGAAGAGGTGACAGCACAAATCACTTCCTAAAGCTCTTGGATGCTCTTGCCCACCTTCCCAAAGCCCCTCCCTGGGCAGGGATAAGCCAGGAGGCTTTGGTGATGGCCAAGGGCACAACAAAGGTACTTACGTGGTATCTTCTTGAACACTGTGTTGCACATGAACCGCTGGAACCTCTCGGCGTAGAAGCTGGGTCTGTGCACAGAGACAGTGTCCTGGAAGCCCAAGGGACAAACATTAATTCACCTGGGAGCCTGAATTCATCACTGGTCCAGGTTACACCAGCAGCTTCTCCCAGGCTGAGAGCCCTGGACACAGGTTGTGTCCCTCAGGAGCTCCACACACAAAGCAATCAATGAATGAACCAGATGAGCAGCTGGCAAGAGGCAAACACAGAAGCCCAGGATCCCAGGCCCAGCACAGCTTAACAGGACTCTGGTTTGCTTGCTAAACAAGCTGAACAGTGACCTTTTCCTACTCACCCCATCATGTACCAGGGCCTTCCAAGAGTGCTCCAGCTTCTTGACAAACCTGAGAATGGGAAGAATCAAGAACAACTTGCACACCAGGTCCCCAAGGTCTGTATCACAACACGCTGGCTCAGAACTGGGCACCCCAAAAACAGCCCATTTGGGCTTTGAATCCTCCTCATTGTCCCCTGTTTCTAAGGCTGTTCCCACAGACTCCAGGGCTGGTTGCAGGGATCAACCTCCCAAGGGGAGAGTTTCAAAGGCAGAACCAATCAGGGCAGCCAACTTGCAATGACATCTAACAGAGACTTTACCCCTGTGACCCCTGCACGCTGCGTTTTCCTGTCAATAGCAGAAAAGACAAACCTTACAGTTGGTTTTCTCTTTACAGGGAGAAGTGGTTATGGCCATTTAAGGCCACCACTGGTTTGTTCCCTGCTACTTCCCACACAGTGCCCGTGTCCAACCACCATGGCACCCAGAAACCACTTCATATTCTGGGAACATGAAGCAGAGTGAAGCAAGACCTGGAAATTGATCCCAAAATGCCCGACTTGAAGAAAACAGAAAGAGGTTAATAAAACAACCTCTGTTGATTTGTGTCTTTAACTTTTTCTGGAACGCCAATCCTGACAAGCCAGCAGGAGCAGGCAGTGCTGGGGAGGGGTCTCCCCAGGGTGGGATGCTGCTGTCACCAACTGCCCCTCACCTGTAGGACTGCAACACGTCGATGATGCCGACGTAGAGCAGCAGCCGCTCCCCCCTGGCGTTCCGGGCTGGGATGCCCCCC